AGTGATCGCCGCCGTTGAGCAGGCAAAGAAAGGCGAAGTCGACGCGGGCGGAGGGGAGCTGCGGGGGGGGTCAGCCGGGCGGCCTCCCCCCCGCTCGCCGGGGTCGCGCGCAGCCAGCGGTAGAGCAGGTCGGACACGTCCAGCAGCGCCAGGCTGAAGGGGTGCAGGACGCCGAGGTTGTGGTAGGGCGTCGCGCCCAGGCAGGTCAGGGCGAGGTCGGCGTCCGTCCCGACCACCACGACGGTGTCGTCCGGGCGGTAGGCCGGCGCGCGGACCGCCGGCGCCGCGGAAGACCCCCCGTCAGACCCCCCCCCGCGAGCGCGGAGGAGGCCAGGAAGGCCAGCGCCCGCGCGATCTTCGCCTCGCCTTCCCCGACCACGGTCGACCCGAAGAGGAAGGTCGGGCAGAAGGACTTTAGAAAGCCACTCCCGCGGTGGAGCTGGAACTGCGCCGCCAGCGCGTTCTCCAGCTCCACGAGAAAGAGCGACCCCGCCGTGATGGACAGGGCGGTGAGTTGGTCCACCGTCGCGTCCATCAACGCCACCTTCCGCCGCCGCAGGCGCTGCGTTTGGAGTTTGGCGTACGGCGCGGGGCCGTCCAGGCAGAACGTCAGCGACCGCCGCGGCGCGACGACCTGGGTGAGGAGAACCTGAAGACGCCCCAGGATCGATTGGATGACCCCGCGCTTGTCAAGGCCCTTCGCTCGGTTTACGCACGAGTGAATAATGCAGTTCATGTCAATCAACACATGATCCACATACGGCACCTCGCGCGAGGCGGGGGACACATCCAAGGAGTTGGTAAGCGTGGTGTCCTGTTCAAGAAATGCGTCCGAACGGCGCGACGGAACCCCATCGCATGCCCCCTCCTCGGCGAAAGACTTCTTTGAAAAGTTGCTTATTCGCCCCTCATCGCTCTCGGCCGGCGCCAGATAGTCTGGCGCATTATCATCAGTCAGTGGATTGGGTAGAAATCGACAGCTGCCGCTACTTTCAATTAATTTTCGAAGACCTATTAAACCCATTTCTCAGAGTTTGGTATTGATTGTATCTTCTTTTCTGTAGTCTCTCATACTACACGAATCCTTCCTATCAGACCCTCTCACAGACTTGTCGCTTACACAAAGTGAAACAAAAGAGTCAAGATGAAAAAGGAGAAGTGTAAATATCAAATGACTCAATACGGAAAGAGTACCCTTGCTTCCAATAATGCTTTGTTTAATCGTTAAGATACTTTAGGGCTCACGGGAAGAGAAAGAGGAAGGGGATGGAGAGGGGGGATGGGGGGTGGAATTTTTGCTATTTTCTCTTTAATAAACCCTTAGAATATCTTACACGACTTCATACTAAAAATGAAAAAAAATGGAGAGTACAGCACCAGGAAGAGGCAAATAATAAATATATCTGCTCCTCGAACTCCCACCGTTGATAATATATTCTAAAATTATATATAATCATCACATTATGCATTTGATATAGCACTCAACATGCGAGTGCATACAAAAAAAGTTGATATCTATGGGAAGATCATCAGCGCTTACAAAATCGGCACCAAAGGGATAAAAATAATATATCTAATATAGTAAAGAAAGCATCGTCAGGATAGTTTAGTCATCGAATAATACCCATTTTTCCATTCAGCAGGAAATAATAAAACATTTTTATTAACTCAAAATTCATTGAGTCGTTTTAGGTTTCCCTATTTTTTGAATAATAATAATAATAATAATAATAATAATTAGAATGATCTGATGGCCTTAAAGAGTAAAGACATGACTTAGAGTGTTTAAGCTTTCATTTGTTGGTTCGGATTTTTCTTCCATAGAAAATGAATCAGAAATTATACAAAGAGAGAAAACATTAGAAAATACTAAAATATTCTTTTATAGATATTAAATAAACATACAAAGATAAGAAGACAAATAGCACTATAAACTAGTTAATCAACCTTAACTTCGTGTACAAACTCTTCGATCTCGGGTGATATGAGAAACTTTTTTTGATATACAAACCAAAGGATAACGCTAGTTATTATCATAATTACAGTGATACCAACGACAATTGGTATAATTGTTATCGGCAGCAAGTTTCCTGTGAGGCATTCAAGCTGAATGTTATACATTATCTCTGGAAAGAGGCAAGGACTTTGAGAGGAAAGGGCCAACACATACGGCTGTATTTCCACTACCGCGACAAAAGGGTCCTCCTCTAGCCTTCCAGGTGATACCTTATTGAGAATTCCCGCAATGTTATTATTATCTTTCATGTTCTTTAAATCATCAATGTTATAGTGAATGGTTTGGTGAGGGCTGTACCGATTCGATCGCTCACGATCCATGGTGATAATCCGCACCTCAGTATCCAACAGCCTATGGGAAGAACTCGATGAGATGGGATACCTTGAAAAGGTCTCCTTTTTGGATTTCTCATTGACCATATTTCTCAACGAAATCGACGAAGAGCGTACGTGGTATAGCAATATATGGAACCCAACAGGAGGGGAACCGGGATAGCTGATGTGCAGTTCATAACGTCGGTCTTTCACCGTGTTTTGAAGAAAATAGCGCCGAACGCGTGGAAAGAGGCGTTGAGCGAGCTCGCTTTCCTCCAAAAAACAATCTTCCAGGCTCTCCAAGGCGGGGTTCCGCAGAGCTTCCCCAACGATCAAATCGCCAGGCTCGAGTAAGGTGTACTCGGTATGCGGGTCCACGTTGTGGTAGTGCACCACCGCTTCTGAACCATCAAAAAGAGAGAACGTCTTCGTCGTGTAGTCACCTTCAAAGTTCGAATTGAGGTTGCCTGCAGGGTTAATAATGGTAAGGTGAATGTAATAATACATGCATGCAAAGGTGAGTAAAAGAAATCCAAAAATGATTGGCGTTATTATGACATAAAAGATGATACGTAGTGTCGAGCCTAAACGGTGCGCCTGCCTTTGCGCTTGATTAAAATGCATGGTTCAAAAAAAATTAATGAAAGAAGACGCAATTGGTAAACGAAAACTATAAAATAGATTTGCTAGCCTGATTAAATTATAGAAAAAAAGAATAGAAAAATAAGTGAAACCGTTAGGAATTTGTACTTGTAATTTTTGTTTATACCGATACATTTATTTCCTAAAATATATTTACTAAGTAACCGAATGTAATAGCAAAAGCATCATATCGTTCAAACTAATTGAGCCAAATTGGGTTTGTAAAATGCGTAGAAAATATTAAAAAAGCATAGTCAAGGGCAAAAACATAAGGATCCTTTGCAAGGGGTAAAGTCGAAAATTAAGTCCGCCGAATCGTCATATATATATACGCATAAATATATCTATGTCGAATTTCAGAGTTGTATTTAATATCACACCTACTTACTGATTCCAATACTGCTAAGTGGCATGGTTTGGTTAGAAATTAGAGCAGAAAATCTGCAATTCACTGTGTCTCTTAAAGGGGAGATGAATCCCAAGGATTTCAAACCATCTTAAAATCTGAATTCTTCATAGTCTAGCGAACTGGAAAAAAACCCTGACGACGGCTCCGGTGGCGTTTGTAGAGGAGTGGGTGTCGACAACGGCGGCGTCTTCACCTGCTTGTCACACCGCTTCGATGAAGGCGGTGGGGTTCGGAAACCCATCTTAGGGCTGACAGCATCATCATCATTTTCCTCAAAAGTCGTCGCCGCGTTAGGGTCCTCCTCTTCTTCAGCCTCCTTGCGTGACTTTTTTTTTGCGCGTGCGAGCCTGCGGTTATTCAAAGCGCTTGCTTGTCCCTCCCCCTCGCTCTCACACGCTGGCGGGGTTGGGGAAAGCGTGGCCGAGTCGCTTTGCCGTACGCGCCGTGAGGAATTCTGCCGGTAAAGCTCCGGAAGTCGCGCCTGTACAGCCGCGTCGATGTTCATCTCCAGCTCCGTAAGACGCTCCAGATCCTCACGGCGGCGGCTCGTGAAGTATTCGTGCGAGGTATCGCCAACGGTGGCGGTATTCGATCCTTCGAACCGTACGTCCCTCCCACAGTGCAGGGGTGACGATCCTGCATCGTCGGAGGCCTCCATCGCACTCATCTGGTCACCCTCACCATTACCTTGACTGCCATCTTTGGTTTGCAGATATCGTTCGGCCGCCCGCAGGTTGTCTCGCCGCACCACCTTAAGGTAATCTCGCCATTTGGGGAACATCTCCACGAGCTGCCCGGACGAACGGGTCTGCCAGTCCGTGCGAAGCCGAGATGACGCCGCAAAGACGTTTGTGAGTTGCTTTTGAAACCCAAAATGGGGCTGGATGCTGTTCGCGCGAAGCAGCTGGAGGCCGAGGAAGGCGAGATCAACGTCCCCTGTCTCCTGCGCGACGCTGAGGTAGATCTCAGCGACGATCAACACCCGCTCAGCCTGGCCCATGGATGCAGGGAGGCCAAACAAAGGCGGTGCGCGACCGTTCGCAAGACTAAGCGTCAGCCCAGGCAGGATCCCCACCGTCGTCGCCCGTGCCTCGGGCTCGGCCAAGCTCATCGCGAGCTGTCGAAAAAAGGGCACGTAGAGCTCCTCCGGCAGTTTATGTCGACGCACCGCCCGCGTTAGCGGCATCACTGGCTCCACCCCCTCGTAGAGCTTGCTAAGCCCGTGGCAGAGCGCACGCCAGCGCGCCGGCCCCATCGCATCGGCCGTATACGTCGGTCGCCGCAGCGTGCTTATGCCGTCCATGAACCAGCGCGCGACCTCCTCCGAAGGAATGGGCTCCTCCGAGGCCGCACCCGTCCCCCCCTTCTCTCCTTCTCCTTCCCACAAGGCCGTGATGACATCCACCAAAGGGGTATAGAGCAGACGAAAGATCGCGGGGTCGTAGCCTGTCACACGCAGCCGGGCCTGGGCCTCCAACTCGGTAGTGGTGAGCTCCTCCGCCGGGCCGGTCGCGAGGCCGCCGGTGGGGTCCTCGAAGAGGTTCAACTCCAACGAGCCATGCATGGTCTTCCCGCCCCCACTCTGGAAGAGGAACTCCTCGGACGCCGCGATCTCCACTGTCTCTTGCTTTCGGTACGTCCGACGGTCTCGACTCAGCCGACGCGTCGGGTGGCACCACCCCCGCAGGGCGGACCCTACAAAGCCATCAAAAACACCTAACGGGGCTAAAGAGGATAAGGAGGCCAACTGTGTCAATGGGGCCAACTGTGTCAATAAAGCCAAGTGTGTCAACTGTGTCAATGAAGCCAAAGGAGGTGACTGACGAACTGGGAAAGGGGAGGTCGGGCGGGACGTCCAAAGGGACCTCAGACGACGCAGGAACGGCTCCGTCCCCACGAACGAGCTCAGCCGCATTGCCGGAAAGAAGGCGGCCCTTTACTTGGCTAAGGGAGTTCGCGGCTCCGATGGGGGCCTCCTGGTTGGGTTGGGTTTGTTTTTTAGCGTGAAACGCACCCACGCGAGATCGACGGGTCACGAACAAGGGTGTGTGTACCTAAAGCTTAGTTATCGTTCGTCGTGATACCTTAACCACGGCGATGCCTACGAGGTGCTTTTAAAAAGGAAAAAAAGTATTGGAGGGGAAAAATTTAGACGATTTAGTATAAAGCCTTACCTTTTCCAGTCGTCGCCTTTCTTTACATTTTTCCACCACTCGTTATCGTTGATATTTCCCAATGTTAGGTGCTGGCATATCCCTACGCAATGGTGCAGTCTTCTCTATAGAGGAAAGAGATAAATAGATATTATTTTTGCCATTGAATTGGTATAGCAATGGATATTGCGATCTCATTAAGACACCGACCTCGATACAAACAATCAACACCATTAAACCAGTTAACAACAGAACAAGTCACATGCCCTACCTTCTTTTTTTTCTGTCTTCATTGTTCTTTCTTTTTGTGGGATTATCATGCACATACGTCACCCACCGTGGGGTTTCGTGCCAAATTTCACCCCTTTGTACGAAGTGGCGCCTCCCCTGCAGGGGAGTCGCCAAACCTCTCATTGTCCATCCGGGCAACTGCCTCCTGCAAGGTCGACATCACGTACGCCTCCGCACTACGGGCGCCCTCGTCAGGATCGTCCGCGAAGCCTTTCTCCTCTTCGTTTTCCGTGGCCAGCAGGGGGGGTTCGGATAGGTGGATTTGAAGCCAAACGCGCTTCTGCAGCACTACCAGGCAAAGGTACACGCGAACAGGGCCGACGTCTCGGTCGGTGAGAACGTCATGCCAGACCGCCGCGAGCCGCCGCGTGGCCTCGTCGTCCTGTAAAAGCCAGCGAAAAAGAAGAAGGCCGAAGCCGGCGGAGCGAAATGGGGCGTCGAAACGGCCGTCCGTGAGAAGGTGGAGCTGTAAACGGCCCATCAGTCCCTGTTGCCGCCGAACACGCCGCGGAAGCCCCCCCAAAGAGGAACCCAACCCCCCCCGCGCTTGATCTTCCTCGACAAGGCCGTAGCCCAGTGAAATCACCTCCAACGGGGGCAAGCGCAGCATGGACGCGGTCAGAACGGATTCCCCTCCTCCCTGGCCCGTGGGGAGGAAACTGTTATGCGGGGACGTCCCCATCTCGGCCTCCCGCAGCGCGCACTGAACCTTCGCGGTGTTGGCCACATACAGCAGCGCACCCCACCCCGACAACGGCGCCATCCCGCCCACCAAAGAAGAAAAAAGCGAAAACGGAAGCCCCACCGACTCGCCATCGACGTAGATGGAATCGGCACGCTCCGCGGCCTCGCGAAACGCCATCTCGTCCTCCCCTCCATTCAAAAAAGGCGAAGAAGAGGAAACATTCGCCTGCGGAATTGCCGAGATCAAAGCGGCCGCGCCGTGGCTGGCGTCGATGTGGAACCAGACCCCAATCCGCGCGCAAAAGTCCGCGAGGGCGGGCAGGGGGTCCACCGCCCCGCTCAGCCCCCCGCCGAAGAGACCGACGACGAGAAACGGAACAAACCCCCCTGCGTGGTCCTCGATGATGCGCCGTTTAACGGCCCCCACGTCGAGGACGTAATTCCGCCGCGTTGGGTGGAGGACGGTTTGCAAAAGCCGCACCTCCCGCAACCCGAGCATCCCGGCGGCGGTAAGCAGCCTCGGATCGACCTGATCGCTCGCGTACAGCACCAGGCGATCGGCCGAGCACGGGGCGCCCCCTCGAAACCCCCCCTCCCCAAGGCGAAAAACCGCCTGCGTCCGCGCGGTGTGGAGTAGGACAAGATAGCCCGCCAGGCTCCCCTGCAAGAGCACCCCCCC